CCCTTCTAACAATTATTCTAAACAAAAAAAAATTCATAAACAAATAACATGCTTTAATTAATTTTCTCATGCAATAACTACTATTCATGTACCGAAAAATCGGTAAAATATTCTTTAAGCATGGAAAACTATTTTGACCCTTCTAAATATTCTTTTAAATTTCTAGTAATTATTTCTCGTTCTCAAAAATATTTATTTATTTATTTTCACACGGTTTTAATATTAAACTTTTATTACATTTCTATTTTAGCGAGTATCGAGCATTACACTACATCTATTTGAAATGACATGATTGGCCACATCGATTTGAAGGGATGTGGTAGCCACATCAATTTGGACGGATACGAATGGTCACTCCAATTTGGAATTTGGAAAGACATGACTAGCTACATCAATGTGGAAGGATACGACTAACAGTGTCAATTTGGAATTTAAAAACATGTGAAAAAACTACGTCGATTTAGAAGGATGCAACTAGTTGCATCAATTTGGAAAGATCCGATTTGCTTTGTTGATTTGGAATTTGAAAGAACATGATTGCCAGATTGATTTGGAAGGATGTGACTAGCCATATCTATTTGGAATTTGGAAAGATATGACTAGCCACATCTATTTAAAATTTGAAAAGATGTGATTGGCCATGGTAATTTGAAATTTGAAGAGACGTGACTAGCCATGTCAATTTGACATTTGAGAAGACTTGACCGGCCACATCAATTTAAAAATTAAAAAGACGTGATTGGCCATATCAATTTGAAATTTGAAAAGACATTACTAGCCACGCCAATTTGAAATTTGAATAGATGATACTGGCCAAGTTGATTTGAAATTTGGAAAGATTTGATAGCCACGTCGATCTAAAAAGATGCAACTGGCAGCGTCGATTTAAAATTTAAAAAGATACGGCTGGCTATATTAATTTAAAATTTAAAAAGACATGACTATCCATATTGATTTGAAATTTGAAGAAATGTAGTGACCACGTCAATTTGAAATTCAAAAAGGCATGATTGGCTATGTCAATTTGAAATTTGAAGAGACATAACTAGCCATGTTGATTTGAAATTTAAAAAGACGTGATGGGCTATGTCAATTTAAAATTTAGAAAGAGTGACTAGCCATATCAATGCGAAAGGACATGACTCGCCACATTAATTTTGATAAGATGTTACTGGCTACGTTGATTTTGATAAGACATGACTAGCCATGTCAATTTTGATAGGATCCAACGGATCATGTTTTTTAATAAGATATGACGACCACTCTAACTTAGGCTGACGTTGACTTTTTATAGAAGCATAGGTCATCAACTTTGTTAGACATAGGTTTTTCTTTCTTTTCTCTTCATTTATGTGTCGTCTAGCTTAAATAGGTTCAAAGTTTTAGGCAACTACTTTTATTGAGCTTGTACTGTTTGCATTTCGATTATTCCTCATGTTTTTGTATTCGTTAGGGATTGCTGATTGGATTACTATCTATATCATTTGACTAGTGCATGTTCTTCTAATTGAATGGGAGATCAACTTGTTCTTTTGTGCCCCCTTGGTAATGTCGCCAAATGTCCGGACTTTTGCTAGCACATATCAAGAATCTAGCCTTAAAAATGGTTGAGGTGGCTTTTGTCTACTCGTCAATAATTTGTCATGAGAAAGCTTATTACGAGATTTAATGGAGGGTGACCTCTTGAAGACCAAATTCGAGTAAGATCCTTATCATGTTATTATATGTCAATTCGATGCATCGTCACATTTCATGAATGACATCAATTACGGGATCGAGCATGAGACTAAAGAAAAGTATTTTTTTTAGGGGATTGATCATACTTGTCAACACAAAGGTGTTTTGAGAGGTGAAAGATCATGAATCACATCATGTTAGTTGAGTTAAGAATAGAAAAAGTAAAGTCAAATGATCACGTTAATGAATATTTGGTCATAACTCAGATTATCTCCTTATTGCTCCGGAGAGAAGAGAAGTCGAAGTACTTGATTTTTTAGTATCGACACGGATTTGCTTGCCGATCTAAACATAGCATGTTTCTAAAGCATTGATTGTAATCATCCATTTGTCATCGACCTTTTATTGTTGTTGCTCATATCATTCATTTTCTTTCGATGTTTGCGCTTGATTATGTGAACTTATCTTTGAATGATTTTTTGTTCTAAATTTTTAGAAAATCATTTTTATTTATTGTGACTTTCATGGATTAGGTTGTCTACTTGAAAATTTTCCATCAAGTCAAGTTGGTGCAAAAATTATTTGTTCCAAAAATTAGGTACGAACAAAATTTTTCTTTTTTTATTAGAAATTGACCAAAAAAAAAAAAACTCTTCAAAATCTTCTCAATTCCTCTATTAGTAAACACGAGTCGGTTGCCGTGCTACGCGCGAGATATGGTAAAACAAATTTATTTTAAAATTTTTAATATTTTTTTATAAATTTTATGATTGAAAAAACATAAAATCATTCTTCCCTATGAATTGATTTTAAAATTAACAATTTTAATAATTTTAACTAAAATATTAATCAAGAATTAAAAAAATTAAAAATATAATTTTCACAATATTCTATTTCAAAAAATAAAGTTATAATTAATGGGCAAACTTTTATAAAAAATTAACAAATGAAAAAAAAATTATTTAATGTTGATGAGAAAATTAATTTTTGAAATTATTTGTGCAACGCTAATGGCAAATAGAACAAAATAATTTCAAAATGTTATAATTTTTTATTTAATTATTACCTTTTTTTTGTGTTTTTCATAAAACTTCTATTTAAAAAAAAATTATTGTTCTTTATTCGGGGATTCTTAAATAAAAACTTATAATAATTCAAACTCGAAATATTAATTAAGAATTCAAAAGCAAATAGTTTAAAATTATATTTTTTATAAGAATGTATGTAAAAATTAAAGTTACAATTAATGTATAGACTTACATAAAAGTTAACCAATGAAAAAAAATTTATTCTTATTTAATGTTGGTGAGAAGTTTTTTTTTCCGGTATATGCATTTGATATCTATATATTTACTTACAAAATAATCAATAAAATTAGCATAAAAATAGTATTTGAATAATTGGTTGGTTCCTTTAAAAAATTACTTTAATTATTTGATTTCAAATAAATTGGTTATATAATGTTATAAAAATATTAATTGCAAATAATTTGTATTACGTTAAAAGATGTATAGTTAATTTTTAATAAAATTAACAATTCAATACTTTTTTTATACGCCTAGACTATACCTAGTAAACTAAGACAAATTATTTAAAATATACTTTTAACCTTTTAGAATAAAATAATTATATACTTATATATATGCAACTATCATTTAAAAATTCTAAGAATTCATGATATATGTTATAAAAATTTATTTTTTAAAAAAGAAAAAAATCATATTTTAAAATTTTATTCTAAAATTCAATTACGAGAGAAAAATAAATTATATAATATCAGTAAATGAAGTTTCATACAAAAACTATTAATTGGATAAGAGTTTTCATTAAAAAAAATGATAAATTCAAATAATTAAATTTAAATAATAAGAGTAATATAAGTCTGAAGTATATGTTAATTTTAAAATATAAAAATATATATTATATAATCGTCGGTTTGTGAAAAAAAAGTTATGATTGATTTTTTAAAATTTTAACACCCAATTAAATAAAAATAAATAAATTGACTGGAAAAAAAAAGCAAAGGAAAAAATGATTTTTCAAAAATTTAACACCCAATTAAATAAAAAAGAACATAAACTAATGGAAAAAAGTAAAGAAAAAAATAAAAGAGAAAAAGACATGTGTAGTGCATTAGTTATGAGATTAAAATTTTTATTTTAAAATTTTAAGGATGAAAATAAAACAACATGAAAATTACAAAATAAATAAATAAATAAATATACTAAAAATAATTATTTACTAAAATGCACCACTATAAATATTAAATGGATTGATATATCTTTCTTTTTTTTTAATAATGCAAAAGTATCTTATTTTAGCACTAAAGTTTTTAGTGTAATATATGTACTTTTTTTTAATATTAAATGGACTGATATTTTAAACTTTAGAAATAAATAACGAAGGAAATAAATTATCAATTCTTTTAAAATTTTAGCACCCAATTAATTATTGGTTACTTTAAAATTTTAACTGCAGTTATTTAAAAAAAAAAAAAAAAAAAAAAGACGCTAGCCACCGTTACTGTTCAAATGAATAGTGTGAAATTTCGATCCAATAGCTGAAACCAAAAAAAGTATAAAACAATTGTTTTGCACAGCTATTTAACAAAAGTAAAGAAAAGCGGAAAGAAAGGAAAGTTGCATTGTTTGTGTCTACAGTATAAAACAATGTTACTTTTTCTCATCTGTTTTAGTTTTATAGTAAATGATTTTTTTATAAATTGGTGCAAAAAATAATAGGAATTGAGATAATTTTAATGAGGTTTTTTAATTTCTATTTTTTGGTCAAATTTTCAATAAAACTCTAACACAAGGAACACATTTAAAAAATCATATTTTTTGAAAAATAAAATATTTTTCTTCTTAATTGAGAAAGTATCTTTTTTTTTTTTTTTACTCAAATTCAAAGATATTTTACAATTTAGCTTAGGATTTAAGAAAAGAAAACAAAGGGATAAACATCTATAACTAGTCAACAACAACAACGTTAACAATAACAATACATGTGGTTTTTATTTTTTATTTTTTCTCTTTCTACGGAAGATGAAAAAGAAGGTGAACTAACAATGACTAAACCGAAAACTCAAGTTGTTACACCAAACTTACTGAGAAGTAGATATATGTCCTGCTACTACATCTTCATTCTTCTATATAAACCGAAGACTAGACCTGGTTTATCACATACAATAATTTTCTTCGCTCATTTCTGGTCTTTTGTGTGAGGCCTCAACGCACGCTTGGTAACAGCAAGATGGCAAGTTTGAACTGTTTTATCTTAGCACTCTTCATTGCTTTGTCACTTTTAGGCGGCGAGGCAGCTCGTCATCTTCTGCAGTTTCCCCCTTTACCTTCTGTGCCGAATTTGCCTAAACCAACATTGCCACCAATGCCTTCTATACCAACACTGCCACAGCCTACATTGCCAACTTTGCCAACCACACAGCCTCCACTTCCTAGCCTGCCAACAATGCCTGGTCTCCCCAAAGTCACCTTGCCTCCACTTCCAAGCATGCCCTCAATCCCCACTATCCCTATCCCAACTACAATTCCCTCTATTCCATTCCTCTCCCCACCACCTGGAAACTAGACCATGTTATCTTTCATTTTGAGTTTGGTTATCAAGCTCTGTCAGGAGTTCATATCTGTTGGTCTCTGTGGAGTACAGTGTGATCAGGAATTGTGTTGTTTGCTTCTGGCGCTGTTCATGCATTGAGCATTCCTGTTTCCTAGTTTTCCCGTATTTATTTGTCTCCTTGTATCATACATATACGATATACCTATATCATTGTCCATTTTTCAATAAAATGAGTGTAGTTTATATGGTGCTGATTCCACATTTGGTTGCTACTCTCTTCTCTTTCTAGAGTCCTAATGAGCTTGCAATATTAACGATGAATCATCTTTTTTTAGCTACTAAAAAATTATTGATCAATTTGATAGTGTTAACTATATTATTCCAGTTGATAAAAAAGAAAAAAAAATAGTATATTTAATGACTTTATAATGTGGAGGTGATAAGCAACATATATTACCAAAAATTACATATTCAAGAAAACAGTCAATAAAAATGGTATTCTAAGGAAAAAAAAAAAAAAAAAAGTGGAGGATGAATTCAAATACAAAGTCTAAGAATATGGTGGCATTACCAAATGCATCATAAAAAGTAAAATCACATGAACAGCTTTTTTTTATTTCCCTCCTGGGACATAATTATCTACACCTTTACACATATGCGTAAGAGTTAATTATACTTTTGGATACAATTTTGTAAAAAAAAAAAAAAAAAAATTACCTTGATTAATAATAAGAATTTTTATTTTTAATTCCATAGATTGACTGAAATTATTACCGAATCTCGTAAAAGGGATGAAAAAAAAATTTAAGGATATTATTTGATTAGTTGATATTTAAAATATACAATTCAAGTAAACAAGTTGAAAAAAAAAAAAACAAAAAAAGACAAGTTAAATCACAATAATTTCTTGTAAAGTTATTAATTTTATTTTTTCGTCATTTTGATCTTCAATTTTTTTATCTGTAATTAAATTCCTTCTTCTTATTTATTAATCTTAAACGCTATGAGTATTCAGAACTATGAACACAACAACATTTGTCCACCAAATCTTAAATAAAGAAGTACAAGAAAAAAAACAAAAAAAAAAAAAAAACTTAATTATAGACTAAAAACAAAGTTGAGAATCCAAATAAAAAATAAAAATAAAAACTTATTTTTCCTATTAACCAATATTTTAAAATACTTTATAACTAATTACTCATTTCACTCCTATGGAATTAATCCTATCTAAATATATTATCTTTACCCATTTATTAAGGCCAATTACTTATAAAATATCTTGAACTATTTGTTGAAAAGGAAAAGTTTTTATTTTCATTTTTTTAGGTCTTCAATTTTTTTTTATCCATAATCAAATTTTTCCATCTTATTGATTAATCTTAAACAACATGAGAGACACAAAATTATAAAATAAATATACTTTTCTTGAAAATCTTACATAAAGGATTCCGAAACAAAAAAAAAATCTAATTAAAAACTAAAATCAAAATTGGGAACCCGAGATAAAAAAAATTTTAAACTTTTATTTTCTATTAACCAATATTTAAAGATAATCTAAGGCATTAGGTTGAAAAAATTGAATTGCAACTCAATTATCATATATACTAAAAGAAAACAAAAAATTATTGTAGCATTTTTGTAATAATCCCATCCCAAAATATACACTTGTTCATGCATACATGTATACTTATGAATTACATGCATATAATTATACCTGCATATGACATATTAGTGAGGTATTGGATAATAAGTATTTTGAATAATAGAAAGAAATAGGGGCTCAATCGAAGTAATATAAGTTGAAGAACTAGAATAAAAACAAGCCACACCTTGAGAGACTAAAACGAACTTTGTCAAGATATATATATATATCTAAAGTCATCTCTTTATCTTCATTTTGCAATCCCTAGCTGGGGAAACAGGAGTGAACCAGAGAGAGAAAAGAAAAAGGAGAGAAAAGAAAAGGGAAAAAAGAAGGGAAAAACCATAATTTTTCCAAGGCAAGCTGAAAGCTAGGTATGTACCCCCTGTAACAATATTTTTATACTGCTTAATTCGAGATTTTAGAGTCAGATTTTGAAGAAGGTTAAAACATGATAGTTGTCGATAATACCTTGAAATATTACCTTGTTAAATTTAAGCTTAAGATAACCTGCATATCCTTTTTTTATCCCTTGCAAGTAAGCTGTTCGGATTTTCAGTGAATTCTGCAGCAAGTCTAATTTTTAGAAAATCACCATGAGTTGTGTATTTCGTACCTAGACTTAATTTTTGGACATGTTAGAGCCCTATGAGTCTAGGGTCATGTGAATCTAGAATTGCATCATTTGAATCTGTATTTTAGGACTTATGGTAGAAAGAGTGAAAAGGGGTCAAGTACCCATAAAGAAATGGCAGCAAGTCTTATTTTTAGAAAATCACCATGAGTTGTGTATTTCGTAAATAGACTTGGTTTTTGAATATGTTAGATATCTATGAGTCTAGTTTCATGTAAAATTAGAATTGCATCATTTGAATTTGTATTTTGGGACTTATGGTAAAAAGAGTGCGAAAGGGTCAAGTACCCGGAAAGAAATAAGTTAACCACTAAAGTCATATTTTGCACTTTGAGCGTATTTAGAAGTTTGATCATGATAAAATGACTTATAAAAGTATATGTGTATGTGTTTATAGATGCCGAGGAGCATGAGGTGCAAGACGTAACGTGTTGACAAATGACGAAGACGTCATTTTTGTGAGTGATATAATTGATTGATACTATGTGTTTGTGTTGCCATGTGATATTATTAACTTTTCGAATGATATGGTGAATCAATGTTTGTGTATGAATTATGTTTTGATGTTATGAAAGTGCTATGTGCAAGCATGTGTTGATGATTCATGCCATGAGCTGTGAATGTTATTATGTATAAGTACAAGTTATATGGGGCATTCACGATGTATGAAAGATAAAAGGGTAAGGTTATGATTGCCATGTCCAAGTAACCATAAATACAAGTTACAAGGACCCAATGGGTCAAATACAAGTCTACAAGCTGGCCAACCATACAAGTTTACAAGTTATAAGCTTATAAGCTTACAAGTTACATGTTACAAGTTCCCGAGGTGATACTTGACGTGTTTTGTTCATAACCGATAAGAAAAGAATACATACATGCATTTTGATAAATGAACATGTTTGAATTATATGAATGATTATGTTTGTGTTATGAATATGCTATTGGTTAATGATGTGAAAATATACATATGTATGTTAGAGTATCAAGATTATATCCCTCATTAAGTAGTATCTCATTAAAAATGCAATTATCTTTTTAGGTGCTAAGAAACAAGAAGTGGAAGTTAAAGTCATCTTTTGTTGTTCAAGTCACGTCATAAGTGATAGGTCGACTGGCGATCTTCCTCTCTTCTCTCTCATTATGTCGAGCATATGCATCCTAGGAGATTTTTGAATTGTATATGTAAATGTGTAAATATGAACTCCTGGATATGTTTTGTGACGTATTTATGAACAAAGAAAAAGTGGTTTTGATTGAATATCCAAGGGTTATAAGTGGAAAGAATGGTTTTTGTTAGGTTTTGAAGTGTTATGGCCGAAAAACCCTCCGTTTAGGCGAGAAACATACACGAGAAGGTACACGGGCGTATGGGAGGCCATGTAACCTTCTGTTTTCAAGGGAAAATGAGATTTTAAATTATACGGGGCAAGTACACGGCCAGGTGTGGGAGCTTGTGTAACCTAGCTATCCAGTAAAAAAAAATAAAAAATAAAATAAAATAAAATAAAATAAAATTCTAATCTTTCTAATATTTTGTGATTAATTGAGTTTTCTATAACTAAAATGGCTAAGTTATACAAAAGTTTTATAAAGAATTAGGTTAAGGTCGCTACAATTTTATTGTTCATTAACTCGCTTACTTTTTTCTTCCTTACCAAGACTCTTTTGGCTTTTAGTTTTTTCTTTTTTTCCTCTTCTTTGGCCAAGCCCTCTTTTGGCTTTCAATAAACTTTATTTTTATTTTATTACCTATTTTGTAATTTTTTTTCTTTTGACCATTAAAATTTTATTAAAAATAAAAGAAAATGAAAAAATGCTGTAGCATGTTACTTGTTCATTAACTCGCTTACTTTTTTTTCCTCGCCAAGGCCTCTTTTGGCTTTTAATAAACTTTATTTTTATTTTATTACCTATTTTGTAATTTTTTTTTACCATTAAAATTTTATTAAATTTTATTTTTATTCCTATAATCACTTGTTTATTAACTATTCACTTTTTTTCCCTCTTCTTCCGCTAAGGCCTCTTTTGGCTTTTAGTAAACTTTATTTTCATTTTAGCTCTTGTTTGGTAACATTTTTCTTTTGATCATTAAAATTTTATTATATTTGATTTTTGTCTCTATAAGAAATATTAAATTTTTATTATATTTCATTTTGTCCCAATAATAAATATTTTTTTCTTTCCTTTTAGTAAATATTTATGTTTTTTTATTCTATTTTGCAATACGTTTTTATTTTAGTCATTAAAGTTTTATCATGCTTGATTTTTATCCTTACTATACTAAAAATAAATAAAGTTTCACTATCCTAAACTTTTTTTCTTTTAATGAGACTTTTCTTTCTATCATAATTCCTATTTTGTGATTTTTTTTTCTTTGTTACTGGTCATTAAATTTAGTAGAATTTTATTTTTTGTTTGAGTCCTTGTTTTGTAATTTTTTTTATTTTAATCATTAAATTTTTATTAAATTTTATTTTTTTTACCTATAGGGAACTAATTTTTTACTTTTAGTAAAACTTTTTGCTATGTTTTGGTTTTTATTTTGTGATCTTTTTTTTATTTTGATAATTTTGTGATCTTTTTTTTTATCATTGAAATTTTATTATCTTTGATTATTATTGTTTCTACACTAAAATTAAATATAGTTTCACTATTCTTTTTTTTTTTTTTTTGGTTTTTAGTAAAAAACATTTTCTATTTTAGTTCTCATTTTGTGAATTTTTTTATTTAATCATTAAAATTCTATCATGTTTTACTTTTATTTACTGCCTTATGCAAAATGAATTTTTTTAGTCTTATTGTTTATAAGTTTTTTTTTCATTTAGTGAAAGTTTCTTTTTATTCACTTTGATCCTTCTTTTATGATCTTTACTTTGTTTTGATCATTTTAATTTTTATCATGTGTAATTTTATCTCTATTTTTTTTTTTTTACCAAATT